GACGGAGGAGTATTTTATTTGAATTTTTAATTGATTGTCATAATTTTAGTAACTTTATTCTCTGTGACTGAAGTAAAAATCTTATTTTGCAATAGCTGCAAGCGTTTCTTGAGAGAGGGCATTGAGGGGAGCCGAGTCATTATTGCTGTGATGATAAAAGTTGTAATTGTGGATGTTTAAGTTGGTGCAATCCCAGTTCTTGTTGGGCGATGAATATGATATTGTTTATAGTCACCTTAGGAGGATCCTACGGAATTTTACGTGAATTGGATGGTTAGGAAAAGTACTACTGCTCTTATTACACCTGTTTCTCTGGCCTTTGTCCAACAAGATGAACGATTTTTAGGTCAGCATCATTATTGTGACTAGTCTTTATGAGATTTTGGTGAAAATTATCTGTAAGGCAAAGTTAGTGCTTGATGAAACGACTAGCAAAATTAGAGTGTTTTTGTCAGTTTTGTAGTTCAATACCTCACTTCACTTTTCCTCTCCAAATTATGATGTTGATCAAGTATTTCTCTCTGTATCTGTTTGTTTGTATGTTGTGTTGATGGTCAAAGTGTGAGGTTGGTTACTATGTTCGGTGCTTCTTTGAATATGTGAGAAGTTTTGTCATTTTGCTTCTTAATAAAAAGATCTGTCTTGGGGTGGGATTTGGTGTAACTTGCCTAGAGAGTAGAGGGTAAAGGGGTGGTGGGTCGTAAGGTGCCATTACTGAATTCTAGTTGGTGGAACGGGAGGTTTAAAGTGCTATTTACTCCTGCCTTAATAACTAGGTGGTAATTGTTGAATTGCTACTTATCTCAGTTGTGTTTTAGAATTTGGTTAATTATTGGGAAATCTATTTTAAAATGTCTTCGACTGTTTCTTGTTCAGATATCAGATCAATTGAAGGGCCGTTTCTCCTCGGGATTATCTTTACCTCAAATTTGCGAGAATTTCATAAAAGCAGCTTATGATCCACGTATTGTGGGTATCTATCTCCACATTGAACCACTGAGTTGTGGTTGGGGAAAAGTTGAAGAAATTCGAAGGCACATATTGGATTTTAAGAAGTCAGGTACCGTATAAAGTACATGTTCAAATAACTTTTTACTAGTGTTGAATTGTGCCCTGAAGGAAGGAGAGGAAAAATGATTTGGGGTGCTGACCTTTTCTGGGCCTTGAAATTGGGTAACATAACAAGAATGGACTATATAAAATAATGCCTCATGAGAAGAAGAAGAAGATTATTTTTCGACTTAGAGCTTGTCTGATTCTCATTAACTGCGAAAAAATGAGTTTTGAATAATATTTTTAAGATAATATATGGTTAAAAAGTAGGAAAACATTTTTGGTATACATGTAGAATATTTTATTTTGTGAATATGTGGTTGAAAATGATCATGTAGCAAATGATAAAGTAAATTAATGGGTGTCAAACAGGCCGTTAATATCATTATTGCATTTTAATTATTATGCTTGAATCTCGTGTATTCAATCTTATTTTTACATAGACAAATCTATTTTTCCATCTTTATTGTTTTTTTGAAGTTTAGAATTTTCATTATGTCCCTAGTATTAGGTGACATAATTTTGTTTTATTTTCATTGGTTCATTATTATTACGTGAAATGATTTTGTGTCGGAAAATTATGTTTTTTTACCAAATTTAAATAATATATGCATTATGTTATTACGGACCACATGTTCAAAGACTTCTGGATGTGTCAGTGGCCCTAATAAATACAAATGCATATGCTGGCATATACATTTCAAAGTACTCATTCAGGCACAACTATGGCCTTCCTAGTTTATATTATACTATGTGCAAGCACTCCGTTTGGTTTGAAACTTGTTCAGCTAAATATATAACTAGATAACGCGGCTGCAAGGCAGAGCAAAATATTTTCCAGGAAATATTGGATTTTCGTTTTGCATCATTAAACCAGATTCATTGGCTGAGGTTTCTGTCATGATTACTGAGATTTCTTCAAATTAATGTATAAATTTATTTATTTATTTTTTTATGTAATTTGTAGGTAAGTTCATTGTGGGTTATGTGCCTGCATGTGGAGAGAAAGAATACTACATCGGCAGTGCTTGTGAAGAGCTCTATGCCCCGCCAAGTGCCTACTTTCATTTGTATGGGTTGACTGTTTCAGCATCATTCCTTAGGGGTGAGTTGATTCCAGTGGTTTTCAAAAGTGATCTACTATTTTTTAATATTAAGAAAAGACAAAAGATAGCATCAACCCAGAGACTCTGTATTTGAGGTTAGATGCGGATTGCCAATGTAAGAGCTAATTTGGAGACATCGAAGAAAAAGGAGAAAAGGAAGAAAGAAGTATATTTAATTTGTTAAATAACTAAGGACGACTAAATGTGAACATTGGTGAACCTCTTAAAACATGTCCGAATTTAACTTTCAAGCTAACCTTCAAAAGTTCAAGAGTAAATATTTGAAAGTGATGTCTACATAGTTTGAACCTCATATTAGAATAGGTGATAGATTGGAGTGTCGATTAGAAATTTGAACAAGTTTTAATCTAATGAATTGATAGATCCCAAGCAAAACTGAATTTTATTATAAGAAATTTCACCACTATTTGGTGATTACAAATGGAGTTGACTCTGCTATAAGGAAGGCAGATTACTTTATTAAAAATGAAAGAAAAATAACAAGAACAATGGACATTCGAGAGGTCCACACTCTCCCAAGAAATCTCCCAAATTCCCGATGCCTGTAACGTGCTCCTTCCCCTTATTTATAAATGATTTTCCTTCCTAATTATTGCTGTAATTGTGCTAATTGATGCTGTAATTGAGCAGTTGGTGCTGTAATTGTGCATGTTGCCTTTGCTCAATTCCTGCGCCTTTGGTAAGTTGCTTGGATTGCGGGTCTATCATTACCTCCTCCCATAAATTTCACCTTGTCTTCAAGGTGAAAGGAAGGAAACCGTTGCTTAATCATGTCGTAAGATTCCCCAGTGGCTTCAAGTTGTGGTAGGAAGTGGCTACAAGTGGTGGTAGTCCTTTCCATTGTATTAAAACATCCAAGCCTCAAATGTTGCTACCCAAGTCAGGTCGTACCCAAGTAGTGCCTCTGGTTCAACCAACATTTCCAACTCCTCATTCAATTAGCAAGGCACTTCCTTCACAGCCTGCACTGCTCCCTTTGCTTTGCATAGCTGGGATACATGAAACACAGGGTAAATCTTACACTTCTAAGGAAGAATTAGCTTAAAAGCAATTTGACCAATCCTTTGACCAACTGTAAACGGACCATAAAACCATGGTGCTAACTTCTCGTTAGGTCGTGCAGCTAAGGATTTGCGATGATATGGTCTAATCTTCAGCTATGCTTTTCATCCTCGCCTAAGCTTGCAATAACTGTGATTTCAATTCCTCTAAAACCTGATCCCTTTTAAGGAGTTGTTGTTCTATTGTTGAAACTGGGGTAGATCCTTTTTCGAATTGCAGCAGAACAGGAGGTTTACACTCATATACAACTTGGAAGGGAGTAGTCTTGCTTGCTGTGTGGAAGGATGTGTTGTACCATAACTCAGCCTAAGGCAACCAACTGAACCAAGATTTAGGTCGTGATGAAGCAAAACAGCAAAGATATGTTTCTAGGGTGTGATTTAGTACCTCTGACTATCCATCTGATTGGGGATGGTAAGTCGAGCTACAGTTGAGCTTAGTACCTTGCAGGCGAAATAACTCTTCCCAAAAATGGCTGACAAAGATCTTGTCCCTATCTGATACTATGGAGCAGGGTATCCCGTGTAGACACACCACTTCTTTAACAAAAACTCCAGCCACACTTGTCATCGTGAAAGGGTGCTTAAGCCCTATAAAATGCCTGTATTTGCTTAATCTATCCACCACTACCAAGATTGTATCCATGTTGCTTGATTTTGGTAGTCCTTCGATGAAATCCATTGCTATGTCTTCCCAAACCTGATTAGGAGTCGGAAGAGGTTGCAATAAGCCTCCCAGTGATAGTGCGATATACTTGTTTTGTTGACAAACTGCACATTGGGTTACATAACGCTGAATATTAACTTTCATCCCCTTCCAATAGACATTTTCGGCGACACTTCTAAGTTTTTCGAGAGCCGGAGTGTCCACCAACCTTGCTGTCATGCCCCTCTTGTAACACCAATGGAATCAACGATGATCCCTTGGGTAGGAATAAATGCCCTTTGAACAACAGTTGGCCATTTACCATAGCAAAATCTGGTCTACTGGGAGGATCTTGCTCGAGTTCTTGAATAATAGTTTGTAGCTTT